GCACACGACTGGGTGGGGTGGCCAGCCCACCACGACCGGCCGCCCTTTGTATCCGCAGCAGCGATGTTTAGGCTGAGGCAACCTAGGGGAGGGCCCGAGGATTGGTTCAGATAATCGTCGCTGGCATTGGGTTTCTGCCGTGAGCGGGAAATGATCTCGGGTCGCTGCCGGGTTCAGGTTTAGCGCAGCGCGCTAACCACTGCGCCACCACTCCACACACACAACGCGCTAACCACTGCATCTCCACTCCACACACACAACGCGCTAACCACTGCGCCACCACTCCACACACACAACGCGCTAAGCACTGCACCACCGCTCCTCGCACACACAACGCGCTAACCACTGCGCCACCACTCCACACACACACAACGTGCTAACCACTGCACCCCCGCTGCAAACACACACAAAGCGCTAACCACTGCGCCACCACTCCACACACACACAACGCCCTAACCACTGCACCACCACTCCACACACACAACGCGCTAACCACTGCACCACCGCTCCACACACACAACGCGCTAACCACTGCGCCACCACTCCACGCACACACAACGTGCTAACCACTGCACCCCCGCTGCAAACACACACAACGCGCTAACCACTGCGCCACCACTCCACACACACACAACGCCCTAACCACTGCACCATCACTCCACGCACACACAACGCCCTAACCACTGCACCACCACTCCACACACACAACGTGCTAACCACTGCGCCACCACTCCACGCACACAACGCGCTAACCACTGCACCACCGCTCCACGCACTACACAACGCGCTAACCACTGCACCACCGCTCCACACACACAACGCGCTAACCACTGCACCCCCGCTGCAAGCACACACAACGCCCTAACCACTGCACCACCACTCCACACACACAACGCGCTAACCACTGCACCACCACTCCACGCACTACACAACGCGCTAACCACTGCACCACCACTCCACGCACTACACAACGCGCTACACAACGCGCTCACCACTGCACCACCGCTCCACACACACAACGCCCTAACCACTGCACCACCGCTCCTCGCACACAGAGAAACACGCGCGCGTACAACGCTCATTACAACCTATGTCAATTCAAGAGTCATTTTCCCACCTGGAATTATCACTGGGGGGGGGGGGGGGTGGTGGTGGGGGTTGGAAGTTAAGTAGAGAAATGAGCAACCGCTTTGTGGATCTTTGAGGAGTCCCACCCCCCCCCCCCCGAATCGATGATAATTTAATTACAAGACTAAATTGAGGGTGATTGAGGCTTTTGTGGAGTTGACCTTTGGATAATGTTGTTTGTGTGTGTGCGCATGTTGGGGTTAGGCTATCGGGTGCGGTGTTCGTCACCAACCCCCCCCGTCCCCTCGCCCCCCCGTCCCCTCGCCCCCCCCCTCGCCCCCTCGCCCCCCCCGTCCCCTCGCCCCCCCTCCCCTCGCCTCCCCCACCCCCACCCCCCCCGCCCCCCCGCCCCCCCTCGTGTGCCGTTCCGATCTTCATTGGTGCTCGCGAACGGCGATTGCCTCACTCAGTCTACCGAGGCACGAGGGAGTTTATTGTCTTTTGGAGCTGTGGTACAGCGGTTAGCGCGCTGTTCTACCATCCCGGCTACCCGAGTTCGATTCCCGCTCACAGCCACCAACGTTGGTGACGATTATCTGAACCGTTCCGGGGCCTCCCCTAGGTCAACTCAGCCTTAAATGAGTACACGGTTCAATATGTGGGAGCGATACCTCTGTGCACGTGTTTTATGTAAATCTATGAATCTGTATGCGAGTCTCTGGTTCTCTCTGTGAGTCTGCGGGTCTCTATGTGAGTTTGTGGATGTTTTTGTGAGTCTACGGGTCTCTTTGTGAGTATATGGGTCTCTATGCGAGTCTACGGGTCTCTATGTGAGTCTGTGGATGTTTTTGTGAGTCTATGGGTCTCTATGTGAGTATATGGGTCTCCATGTGAGTCTGTGGGTCTCTATGTGAGTCTGTGGGTCTCTATGTGAGTCTGTGGATGTTTTTGTGAGTATATGGGTCTCTATGTGAGTATGTGGGTCTCTATGTGAGTCTATGGGTTTCTATGTGAGTATGTGGGTCTCTATGGCAGCTATTGATGGCTGGGCTGAGGTCATCAATTCACTACACTCGAGATCCCGGTTTAGATCGCTGTGGTTGAGCGGATGACACACGGATTGGAACCTAGGCCTTGAGAGAGTTCCAGCTCCCAGTCTCTGAACCTCTCGACCACCCGACCCCCTCCCACTCCACAGACTTGATTTGTGAATGAAGATTTGTGAATGAAGATTGGTGTGTCCATGACGCTTTGTGTGCAACGAGAGGAAAGATCAGAGTTAGATTTTAATCCACCACTAAATCAATTATCAAATAAGCATCCCCCCCTCCTCCACCTACTCCCTCCCCCTCGTCCTCGTCTCCCCCTCCCCTCCCTCCTCCCTCCTCCTCCCTCCCTCCTCCCTCCCGCTGCTCCCCCCCCCCTCTCCTCCTCAACATCTCTCCCCTCCCACTCTATCCTCTGCGTGTCCCTCGCATCGAAATAAAATACGTGTCTTGACTCCGTTGGCTCTCACTGTGTTATAAATAATGGTTTAATTATATTTAACAAATTACGACTTGGGAAAGACGCCAGGGTCTTAAACTATATTATATTTTTTAATTAGCACTATAAATCGAGAGTGAAACGTAATGTATTAGGTGGTGGTGGTGGTGTAGTTAATGGAGGTGGTGATGATTGTACTTGCAATGGTGGTCATAGCGGTGATGATGATGTAACTAATGAGGATGTAGCTGATGATGTTGGAAATATGTGTACGTGATGTGTGCATGAATGCATGCAGACTGCATGTCTGTGTATACGCGTTCGTCGCTTACGTAGGTTGCTGCTCGCTACCAACACTTGTCCCAGCAGTCTGTTAAGCTCCGCGGGGGATGTTTGTTTTTGGTTGTCGCGTACACACGCATGCAAGTGAGTGAGTGAGTAGTGTGTGTGTGTATTCTCGTGTGCCGTGCCCGCTCACAGCAGAATCAGAATCCGTATTTTTCCTCGAGGAATTCGACGAGCTATGAAGCTATTTTTCACAAATGTCCAGGAAGGAACCTCGGGTCAGAAAGTTACAACAACAAACAATACGACAACATGATAGGAGTGTCAAGTATAGGCACGGTAGACAAATCACCTAAACATATATGTTTATCTTCTTGGTTCTTTCGGTAAAGTCACGTAGAATAGAAATAATAAAATAATAAAAATGATTTGTGAATGAGAATTGTAAAATAAGAATTGTAAAAATAAGAATTATTTTATCATGTTTAATTTTTATTATTTTATTATTTCCATTCTACGTGACTTTACCGAAAGAACCAAGAAGATGAATCCCTGCAGTCACGAAAGCTTTAAATCGAAGCATTTGTTTATTACACCAGGTAAGGGCCCTCTAAGCTACAGAGCTCTTTTTCAAAAGCGACTTGGCCACAAATTGATAACTCGAAGAAGTGGCCTTAACCACGTGGAATATACACATCGCAGCCGAACAATCTCAAAGCGCTTGCCCCAACAGGAAAGGCTACGCGGAATATCTTTGCAGTTTGTGCGTGAACGCACGTGGTCAAACGGTTACAAGAAATATCGATGCATGCGTGCGTGCATATGGACAAACGTGATTTAATGCGCGCCTAACTCATAAATCAGGTGGCCAGGAGCGGCGAAAACCACACCGGGGCCGCTTTTGTCTCGCCGGTGTCAAATTATTACACAGCACACCGAGTACTCATTTAAGGCTGAGTCGACCTAGGGGATGACCTCGAAATGGTTCAGATGCTCGTCACTGGTGTTGGTGGCCGTGACCGGGGAATCGAACTGGGAGTCATGCCAGCCGCTACGGCACTACCGCTCCCCACTTCGAAAAATGTGCTAACAGCACTTGCCTCCGACAGTATGGCAAGGCTGTGTGGGTCACCTTTGCCTTTGTATGTGAACAAAGACAACTATTTGTCCGTACGGCCTTAACAGACTGTAGGGGCAAGTGCTATTAGCGAGCACCTATGAAGGCCGGCACGGCACACGAGGAGGTGGGTGGCCAGCACCACGCCCGACCGCCTTTGTCTCCCCAGTGGCGATGTTTACACACCGCACCAGGTACTCATTTGAGGCTGAGACGACCTAGGGGGTGGCCCAGGACCGGTTCAGATAATCGTTACTGGGTGTTGGCCGTGAGCGGGAATCGAACCCGGGTCGTTGGGTTCATAGCGCAGCGCGCTAACCCATACACCCACATCCCCCCACGTACACACACATAACCACGTGCATCTCCTCTCCACAGCTGTAACCGCACATGACCCCTGGTGACCTCTATTCTCGAACCACTCCACCACCACAAGCTCCTTCTTTCTCTCTCTCCCCCTCTCCACCTCTCTCCCGAGTGAGCCCCGTGTATCTGAGACGCTCACTAAAGCCTTTGATGTTAATTACCCCCCCCCCCCCACCAACGCTCCCCCCCCCTTCGTTAACTAGACGCACAACAACTGGGCTCTCCGCAGGCATCATCATAGCCCGATAACCCCCACCTCACTCCCCTCGCACCCCCCCCCCCCAAAAAAAAATCCCCACGCACTCCCAAGTCGCGTTTCTCACGCCGATATGTAAATGTCACGCGGTAATATTTAATGACTGGTATTGCGGATACAACGTGTCACCAGCATTGCTGTGCCGCAGGCTATGGGAGGGATAGGCGGAGGGGGAGGGGTGAAGAGGGGAGGGGGGATGGGAGCAGAGGAGGAGGAGAGAAGGGAAGAGGGAGGAGAGGGTGGGAAGGTGTTTGTAGGACAAGGAGGCAGCAGGGATGTTGGTTGTTCGGACAAGGTGACATGATTAGACAAGGACGATAGGTTGATGATGATGACGGTGGGAAAAGACAGTGGTGCTGATGATGATGATGACGGTAATGCTGATCATTATGGTGATGGTAAAGAATGGTGTTGCTGATAATCATGGCGATTGTGATGGTGACAGTGATGATGATGATGATGTTTATGAATATTCTGTGTTGCTATGTTCTGTCCCCACTTACCACCAACTCATGTCCATCACCAACCACTGCCAACCGCCAACAACATCAACCACTCCGAAACATCAACAACCACTGTTAAACCCACCACCACAACCACCACCCCCACCCACCCCGCTCCACCTCCTCCCCACAACCACCGCCACCACCTCTAACCACAACCATCTCCTCCCCATCACCATCATAACCACCTCCTTTCCACCACCTCCACCACCTTCTCCCACCACAACCATCTCCTTCCCATCACCACCACCTCCTTTCCACCACCACCACCCACCACCTCCCACCACAACCATCTCCTCCCCATCACCACTACCACCCACCTGCTCTACATCCTCCTCCCCACCACCAACTACACCACCTCCACCACCTTCTCTCACCACAACCATCTCCTTCCCACCACTACCACCACAACCCACCGTCACCACCCACCAACTCCCACCACAACCATCTCCTCCCCATCACCACCACAACCACCCACCTGCTCCCACCACAACCATCTCCTCCCCACCACCAACTACACCACCTCCACCACGTTCTCTCACCACAACCATCTCCTCCCCATCACCACCACAACCACCCACCTGCTCCCACCACAACCATCTCCTCCCCACCACTACCACCACCACAACCCACCGTCACCACCCACCACCTCCCACCACAACCATCTCCTTCCCACCACTACCGCCACCACCCCACCTGCTCTACATTCTCCTCCCCACCACCACCTCCACCACCTTCTCTCACCACAACCATCTCCTTCCCACCACCACCACCACCACAACCCACCGTCACCACCCACCACCTCCCACCACAACCATCTCCTCCCCATCACTACCACAACCACCCACCTGCTCCCACCACAACCATCTCCTCCCCATCACCAACTACACCACCTCCACCACATTCTCTCACCACAACCATCTCCTTCCCACCACTACCACCACCACCACCCCACCTGCTCTACATCCTCCTCCCCACCACCACCTCCACCACCTTCTCCCACCACAACCATCTCTTCCCCATCACCACCACCACCCACTTGCTCTACATCCTCCTCCCCACCACCACCTCCACCACCTCCTCTCACCACAACCATCTTCTTCCCACCACTACCACCACCACAACCCACCCACTCCACCTACTCCTGCCCACCGTCACCACCCACCAACCCACCCACAGCCGCTCGACTACGAGCGCAAGCACGCCTACACGCTCACCGTGGAGGCGTGGAACCCGGTGGCGGGGGGCAGCAGCTCCACGGCGATGGTGCCTTTGGCTGGCTCCACGCGCCTCCTCGTGAGCGTGGAGGACGCGGACGAGGGGCCCGTCTTCTCCTCCGGCCGCCTACGAGTTCGAGGTGGCCGAGAGCCAGGGGCCACGGCACCCCCTCGGCACGGTCACGGCCCTGGATCCCGACGCAGCGGCCAGACCCGTGCGGTAAGCGGAGAGAGAGAGAGAGAGCGGAGAGAGTGGAAATCGAGAGGAGAGAGATTATGGAGAAATAGCGGGGAGAGGAGAGTGGGATTGGAGAGATTTTTGACTTTGAAACTTCTTTTATTGCCGCCAGCAGCAACAGCACTGGAGGCGATTCCGATATGAAATACACAAAGTCACCAGCAAACAAATGAAAACAAACGTTATAAATCCACGCGCTGTGGCGCTAAATGCACCACACACAATACGAAAGAAAAGTCACGTGGTGGTGGTGGTGGTCATCGCGCACGCCACGGTGACGAGCGAGCGCTTCAGAAGGTGAACACGAGGGTGCTGTGCACGCTGGTGCAGAGTGGGGCTTGTCCGGCTCCCCAGCGTTCGAAGAAGACGTGCTGCACATCACCGACATGTGTGTGGTACGCGTGCTCAGAGAGAGAGCAGAGAGAGAGGAGATGAGAGAGAGGAGATGAGAGAGAGGAGATGAGAGGAGAGATGGATCTCGCCTTCACTTCAAAAGGGGATGACTCCACCAAACAATATCATGGCGGCGGTGCGCAAACACAATTAACAACAATATCAAGACGTTCCGTATCGAACAGCGCCGTATGTGTGGCTCTAAAATGAAAATCATTTATAATACACGCCGTTCCATTCCTTCCCAGCGCACAGAAAGGTCACTACCGCTATGGGTCTCTATGTGAAATGTATGTGTGTATTTGCTAGTATATGGGTCTCTATGTGAGTCTATGGGTCTCTTTGCGAGTCTATGGGTCTCTATGTGAGTCTATGGGTCTCTATGCGAGTCTATGAGTGTCTTTGTGAGTCTATGGGTCTCGACAAGTTTGTGGGTCTCTATGTGAGTCTATGGGTCTCTTTGCGAGTCCATGAATCTCTCTGTGAGTCTATGAGTGTCTTTGTGAGTCTATGGGTCTCGACAAGTTTGTGGGTCTCTATGTGAGTCTATGGGTCTCTATGTGAGTCTATGGGTCTCTATGCGAGTCCATGCATCTCTGCGTGAGTCTATGGGTGTCTTTGTGAGTCTATGGGTCTCGATAAGTTTGTGGGTCTCTATGTGAGTCTTTGGGTCTCTATACGAGTCGTTGGTGACCAGGCTGCACCTGTACACCCGTGTCATCTCTGTGGTGCTGCGGCTGAGACGTGGCTCAGCGTCTCTGATCTCTGCACCACCAAGGCCACCTCGAGACTAATACCCATCACTGCAGCAATGGAATCCAACTGGAACATCACTGACATGATAGATCATTCGCTTCCCTTCGTTATCAATGCCATCCACCCACCCACTCACCCACCCACCCACCCACTCACCCACTCACCCACCCACCCAATCATTCATCCACCCATTCATCCTCCTGCAGCTACTACCATGACGATTGTTCCAGTGAACTTATCTCACCGATTCACTCCACTCACACACTCACCCACCAACCCACTCACCCACCAACCCACTCACCCACCAACCCACTCTCCCACCAGCCCACTCACTCACTCACCCACCAGCCCACTCACTCACCCACTCACTCACTCACCCACTCACTCACTCATTCACCCATTCACTCAGTCACCCACTCACTCACCCACTCACCCATCCACCTACCTACTCACCCACCCACCTACCTACTCACCCATTCACTCACCCACTCACCCACTCACTCACCCACCCACCTACCTACTCTCCCACCCACCTACCTACTCACTCACCCACCTACCTACTCACCCACTCAATCACTCACCCATCCACCCATTCACTCACCCAGTCATTCACCCACTTACTCACCCACTCACCCACCCACCTACCTACTCATCCACTCACCCAATCACTCTCCCGTCGCTACTGCATGACACCTGTCCCCTTCGAACTGATCTCTCTGATTCTCTCCACTCGCTATGTATTAGAACCTCGTGTTTATGTTATAAAATACAGCGTCTAGTGTCTAGGGTATAACACGTAGCGTGTAGTGTATAGGTTATAACACGTAGCGTGTAGTGTATATGTTATAATATACTGCGTGTAGTGTATAGGTTATAACACGTAGCGTGTAGTGTATGAGTTATAACACGTAGCGTGTAGTGTATGAGTTATAACACGTAGCGTGTAGTGTATAGGTTATAACACGTAGCGTGTAGTGTATAGGTTATAACACGTAGCGTGTAGTGTATGAGTTATAACACGTAGCATGCAGTGTATAGATTATAATAGACTGCGTGTAGTGTATGAGTTATAACACGTAGCGTGTAGTGTATAGGTTATAATAGACTGCGTGTAGTGTATGAGTTATAACACGTAGCGTGTAGTGTATAGGTTATAATAGACTGCGTGTAGTGTATGAGTTATAACACGTAGCATGTAGTGTATATGTTATAATAGACAGCGTGTAGTGTATGAGTTATAACACGTAGCGTGTAGTGTATAGGTTATAATAGACTGCGTGTAGTGTATGAGTTATAACACGTAGCGTGTAGTGTATAGGTTATAATAGACTGCGTGTAGTGTATGAGTTATAACACGTAGCATGTAGTGTATATGTTATAATAGACAGCGTGTAGTGTATAGGTTATAATAGACTGCGTGTAGTGTATAGGTTATAATAGACTGCGTGTAGTGTATGAGTTATAACACGTAGCGTGTAGTGTATAGGTTATAATAGACTGCGTGTAGTGTATGAGTTATAACACGTAGCGTGTAGTGTATATGTTATAATAGACAGCGTGTAGTGTATAGGTTATAATAGACTGCGTGTAGTGTATGAGTTATAACACGTAGCATGTAGTGTATATGTTATAATAGACAGCGTGTAGTGTATAGGTTATAATAGACTGCGTGTAGTGTATAGGTTATAATAGACTGCGTGTAGTGTATGAGTTATAACACGTAGCGTGTAGTGTATGAGTTATAACACGTAGCGTGTAGTGTATAGGCTATATAACACGTAGCGTGTAGTGTATGAGTTATAACAGACAGCGTGCAGTGTATAGGTTATAACACGTAGCGTGTGCTGTGTAATTGTTGAACACGCAGCACACGAACCCCCACGGTTACCGCAGCGTGATCCCCGCTCTCTCCCTCTCCCATTTATCTCTCCCATTTATCTCTCCCCCAGCCACGCTGCTCTTCTTGCTCCCCCCTCTCTCCCCCCCGCTGGTGCTCCCATGGCCATTTCTCAAGCCCGCAGCGACAAATTGCTCGAGCAAGTGTAGCCGCATTCCGATTAATTAGGCAGATACTGGGAGGCTGTCCCGCAACAGCATCTCGGCAAACCTCGCTTTGATGGCAGCTCACACCGCCCTCCCCCACCACACCTCTTCGATGTGCGTCTGTGCGCGCGCGCGTACGTGTCCGTGGTGGTACGCGCGCGCGCGTGTGTCCGTGGTGGTACGCGCGCGCGCGCGTGCCCGTGGTGGTACGCGCGCGCGCGCGTGCCCGTGGTGGTACGCGCGCGCTCGTGCCCGTGGTGGTACGCGCGCGCGCGTGTGTACACGTCTAAGGGCGCCACGGTGGCTATGAGATTCTAGATTTGAAGCTTTCGTGACTGCAAGGATTCATACTCTCATGTTTTTTTCGGTAAAGTCAGGTAGGTAAAAAATAAAATTTTATTTTTTACCTACGTGACTTTACCGGAAAATGTTTTTTTTTACCTACGTGACTTTACCGAAAAAAACCTGAGAGTATGGCTATGAGATGTTAACTACCTCGTCTGGTATGCAGGAGGTCGTGGGTTCGATCGCGACCCTGACGCCTGCTGTGTATTTGGAGTTTGCGTGTGTCTCTCTCACCATCACGGTGGCTAGGAGATGTTAACCACCTCGCCTGGTATGCAGGAGGTCGTGGGTTCGATCGCGACCCTGACGCCTGCTGCTGTATATTTGGAGCTTGTGTGTGTGTGTCTCTCTCTCTCACTCTACGCGTGGATTTTTCTCCGGGTCCTCCGGTTTTTACCTCCACATTGAGAAACATGCGCTTTAGAGTATTTATAAATTTCCACGTTATAAGCCACTTTGTTGAGCTGTCATTTGTGGCCAGGTCGCGTCTGAAAAAGAGCGATATAGTTCAGCGGGCCTTACCCGGTAAAATAAATAAAATAAAATGTTTAGTAGTTTCTATGCGTGGGGAGCGGTGGCGTAGTGGTTAGCGGCCCGCGCTACGAATCCGGCGACCAGAGTTCGATCGCCGCTCACGGCCACCAGCACTGGTGACGATCATCTGAACCGGTCCTGGGCCTCCCCTAGGTCGACTTAGCCTCAAATGAGTACCTGGTGCAGTGTGCGAACATCGCCACTGGGGAGACAAAGGCGGCCGGTCGTGGTGCTGGCCACCAACCATCTCGCTAACAATACTTAGACTCCTATAACAGTAAAAAATGTGTTTACCTGGTAACGGCCCCTCTGAGCTATGTAGCTCTTGTTCAGAAGCGACCTGCTCGCGATTGATAGCCCAATTAAGTAGCGTATCATCACGTGGACATTTGTAGCAGCCAAATACTCTGAACGCGTGGTGTTCTCATTATAGATGTGGAGGGTAAAGCCCAGAGGACCCGCAGTAAAATCCACAGGACGACGTCGGAGAGAGAGTGAGAGAACACGCAAACTCCAAATATACACAGCAGGCGTCAGGTTTAGGGATCGAACCCACGACCTCGTGCGTACCGGGCAAGGTGGTTAACATCTCGCCACGGCGGCGCCGAGATGGTGGTAGCGATTCGTCTGTCCTAAGTGTCACTCGGCCTCTCGCTTCTGGCCCCGCCTACTTATATAGCCTCCTGGCATCTCTCCCACTTTACAAACACATTGTCCTGCGGAGGGAGCTGGTAGGAACGTTGGGTTGCTCGGTCAATGGCCAGGGTCAACGGCGGCGTGGTGTATTCCGCAAATATGCCCGACTGTGAGGGCGGGCACAAGCCGGCGTGAGTAGGTTAAACGTTGAGTTTTTTAAGGGCACCACGGGGTGACCAGCCCCTCCCCACCCAGCCCCACCCCTCCCACCCCCGACCCAGCCCCAGCCTCCCCACACAGTCCCTCCCCACCTTCTCCACCCTGCCCCTCCCCACCGTCCCCACCCCGCCCTCCCCACCAGGCCCACCCAGCCCCTCCCCACCCGCCCACCCAGCCCCTCTCCACCCTGCCCACCCAGCCCCTCCCAACCCAGCCCCACCCTCCCCACCCGCCCCACCCAGCCCCTCCCCACCCTCTCCACCCAGCCCCTCCCCACCCAGCCCCTTCCCACCCTCCCCTCTCCACCCAGCCCCTCCCTGCACAACGGACGAACACAATAATCCCCTGTGGGCTGGTGTAACCAGAGGTTCCTACCAGTATACATTTTCTTGCTGTGGTGTTCACACCTGATGATGATTGCTTGTGTTGCAATCGAAACGTCCTAATTTAATTGGATTTTTATATTTTATTCATTATTTATTATTTTATTTACCTACGTGACTTTAGCGAAAGAACCAAGATGTATCTGTCGAGTTGATGCTATAGTTGCTCAGGCAACCAGATGAGAGAGTTCATGAGATACCGCAAGAGTGACCCCACCCCTCTCTCCTCCACGGGGCTGGCAATATCCAGCCGTCGTAGGGGGACGATGGTTGCTGTTCTAGATTTGAAGTTTTCGTGACTGCAATGATCCATACTCTTTGGTTCTTTCGGTAAAGTCACGTAGATGAAAAAACTATAAAAATGAAATAATAATAAAATAACAATAACATTTTTAAATAAGAATAAAATAGAAATAAAATTAAAAATAAAATTAAAAATAACTAAATTAAATCACGGTTAGATTGCAACACAAGTACTCATCATCAGGTGTGTAAATCACAGCTAGAATTTGTTTTACTAAAGTAAACATTTTTTCTTTTATTATTCTTTTTACTATTTTTTCACCTACGTGACTTTACCGACGATGGCTGTGTTTGTACTCCGGGTAGTGATGAGTGTTTGTAATTAATATTTAATAACACACGCTGTCACGCGTCTGCTGGGTGCGTCGAAGTGGATTTGACGCCGCACTTAGTCGCCCGTCAGTACCGATGTTCGTTTGACATTTCGATGTGCCCTGAAGGAGGGGCATTATCCGAAACGTCGCCAACTATATCTGTTTATTTTTCCTATCTTTTAAAAGCCATGTGTAAAGTTATTGACGGTTATGTTGTTGTTGTCACATTCTAAATGCAGCTCTGGAAGGGTTAGATAGCTGATATACAACTGATGTATGTCTCCCCCTTCCGTGTTCGTGTGTGTGTGTTTGTCTCGGTGTGTGTGTGCGTGCGTCTCGGTGTGTGTGTTCGTGTGTGCGTCTCGGTGTGTACGTGTGCGTGTGTGCAGCTACTCGATCGATCGCAACACCGACGTCGACCGTCACTTCGACGTCGACCCCCTGTCGGGCGTCCTCACCGTCGCTCGGCCGCTCGACCGCGAGTCCACCGAGCTCTTTAACATCACGGTGATCGCCACGCAGGCCGGTGAGCGTCACTCGCAGGGTCACTCCACCTCGCAGGGTCACGCCGTCTCGCAGGGTCACTCCGCCTCGCAGGGTCACTCCGCCTCGCAGGGTCACTCCGTCTCGCAGGGTCACTCCGTCTCGCAGGGTCACACCGTCTCGCAGGGTCACTCCGTCTCGCAGGGTCACTCCGCCTCGCAGGGTCACTCCGCCTCGCAGGGTCACACCGTCTCGCAGGGTCACTCCGTCTCGCAGGGTCACTCCGTCTCGCAGGGTCACTCCGTCTCGCAGGGTCACTCCGTCTCGCAGGGTCACTCCGTCTCGCAGGGTCACACCGCCTCGCAGGGTCACTCCGCCTCGCAGGGTCACTCCGTCTCGCAGGGTCACACCGCCTCGCAGGGTCACCCCGTCTCGCAGGGTCACTCCACCTCGCAGGGTCACTCCGTCTCGCACCACCCTCACGCCTCGTCACAGGGTCACCCGTGGAGAATCACACTCTCTATCACCACACTCACTCACTCTCACACTCACTCTCTATCGCCACACTCACTCTCTATCACCACACTCACTCACTCTCTCACACACTCTTACTCACACTCACTCTCTCACACTCTCTCTCTCACACACTCTTACTCACTCTCTCACATTCACTCTCTCCCACCCACTCTCCCGCCCACTCTCCCACCCACTCTCCTTTTCACTCTCCCACACACTCTCCCATTCACTCTCCTATTCACTCTCCTGCCCACTCTCCCACTCACTCACTCTCCCACCCACTCTCCTATTCACTCTCCCACTCACTCTCCCACTCACTCTCCCACCCACTCTCCCACCCACTCTCCCACTCACTCACTCTCCCACCCACTCTCCTATTCACTCTCCCATTCATTCTCCCATTCACTCTCCCACCCACTCTCCCGCCCACTCTCCCACTCACTCACTCTCCCACTCACTCTCCCATTCACTCTCTCACCCACTTTCCTCTCTCCCACTCACTCTCCCACTCACTCTCCCACCCACTCTCCCACTCACTCTCCCACTCACTCTCCCACTCACTCTCCCACCCACTCTCCCACCCACTCTCCCACTCACTCACTCTCCCACCCACTCTCCTATTCACTCTCCCATTCACTCTCCTATTCACTCTCCCACTCACTCTCCCCCCCACTCTCCTATTCACTCTCCCGCCCGCCCTCCCGCTCCCTCCCCCAGACGACCAGGCGCTGGTGGGCCGTGCCCCCGTCACGGTGCGAGTCCTCGACGTCAACGACAACGCCCCCGAGCTCCTGGGGCCCGACGAGCTCGTGCTGTGTGAGAACACGCCCGCTGGCCAGGTGCGGACCACGTGGTGGGCGGGGCATGATGGGGGGTGGGGCAGTGGGGGGTGAGAACACTTCCCCTGGTCAGGTGCGGACCACGTGGTGCGCGGGGCATGATGGGGGGTGTGGCCTGGGGGGTGAGAACACGCCCCCTGGCCAGGTGCGGGCCACGTGGTGTGCGGGGCATGACGGGGGGTGTGGCCTGGGGGGGTGAGAACCCTTCCCCTGGTCAGGTGCGGGCCACGTGGTGTGCGGGGCATGACAGGGGGTGTGGCCTGGGGGGTGAGAATACACCCCCTGGCCAGGTGCGGACCACGTGGTGTGCGGGGCATGATGGGGGGTGGGGCAGTCGAAATCGTGGGGGGAGGGGCTTATATTCTTAGGTTTTTTGGTAAAGTCACGTAGGTGAAAAATTTAAATTAATAAAAATAAAGTAAAAATAAAATAAATTATTTTATTTTTATTATACGTTTATTAATTTTATTTTACTTTATTGAAAATGAAAATTAATAAAAGTAAAATAAAATAAATTATTTTATTGTTATTTTACTTTTATTAATTAAATTTTATTTTACTTTATTAAAAATGAAAATTAATCAAAGTAAAATAAAAATTAATTATTTTTATTTTTATTTTACTTTTATTAATTTTATTTTTTTACCTACGTGACTTTACCGAAAAAACCCTAAGAATATGAATCCTTGCAGTCCCGAAAGCTTCAAACCTAGGGGAAGGGGCTGTTGAAGGGATGGAGGGAGAGGCGAAGATGATGGACAATGATAGCAATGAAGGTGGAGGGAGGAGAGGAGAGGGGTAAATGTGATGAGATTTTTATGGTCTCTGTGGTGCACTTGGGCATATGAGAAAAAGAGCGGAATAGCTCATCGCATTCCTCCAGTATTAATACAGATTATGATTCCTACTCAAACTAAACTAAACGTTTTATTTTACCAGGCAAGGCCCACTGAGCCTCCGTAGCATTTTTTCAGAAGCGAGCTGGCCACAAATGATGGCTCAACGAAACGCGTTTTCATCACGTGGAAATGTACAGCAGACACATACTCGAAGCGTGGCACGTTGATTTGAAATGTGGAAGGAAAAACGGGAGGACCCGGAGAAGAATCCACGCGACCACGAGTTAGAGAGAGAGAGAGACACCACAAACTCCGATCTCATGTCGCATCATAAGTAGCCAACTGTACTAATCGAAGGTTAGGGGAAAATACAACAAACTAAACGCAAAAATAAGTAATTAAATTATTACACTGGTCAACAAAAGAAAAAATCTGGCCTGGACTTTTGCAGCTGTTTTAGACTAATTTCAGGGTGCTGATTCCAAATCTGATCTCAGATTTGCTCTGTAACATCTCATTTTTATGCTATCGGCATACCCAATTTTCATTGATTTTACCCGAAATTAACTCTGTCGCTTATGATTGCAAGTTGTTGCGAGTCAGTGGCTGCTTTAGTGTTAAAATATGGTGCTGTATTTTTAGGATAGTGGGTATATAATATAATTTGATGTAGATATCCACATTTATTTAATATTTTTCTTCTGCAGTTTTTATCGAAAATGCAATATTTTATATCTCAAAAACCTGATGTGATAGACAAAAACTGATGCCAGATTTGGAATCAGCACCCCAAAATTACCTTAAAACAGTTGGGATACCTTATGCCAAAAAAAGTGTGTTGACCAGTGTTATTAGAGGAACTCTCCAGAGACGCAGGCCTTCATCCAACAGTGGATTGACCCTGGCCGATGATGGTGATGATGATGGTGATGCTGCTGCTGCTGCAGGGAGCATGCGGAGAGAAGAGGTGGAGGGATGGGAGCGATGGAGGGAGGGATTGAGGGATGGAGGGTGAAGGAGGGCGATGGGGAGGGCAGGTATAGCAGGTGGCCTCTAACAGCACTCGGCTCGACAGCCTGCGTAGGCTACACAAGGGGATCGTTGTCTTCGTGTGTGCACATGCGCGCGCACATGTGTGTGTGCGTGCGTGCGTGTGTGCGCGTGCGTTCGCGTGTGTGCGTGCGTGTGGGTACGTGTGTGTGTGTGTGTGCGTGTGTGCGTGTGTGTGCGTGCGTGTGTGTGCATGTGCGCGCGCACGTGTGTGTGTGTGTGTTTGCGTGCTTGTGTGTATGTGTACTTGTGTGTGTGCGTGTGTGTGTGCGCGCGCGTGCGTGCGTGTGTGCTTGCGTGCGTGTGTGTGGTAGTCCAAACGGTGAGCGCTCTGCGCTACGAACCCGATGACGATTTTGATTCCCGCTCGCGACCACCAACAGCCGGTGACGATTATCTGAACCGGTCATGGTTCTCCCCTTGGTCGACTCGGCCTCAAATGAGTACCTGGTGCGATGTGAAAACATCGCCACCGGGGAGACAAAGGCGGCCGAGGGTGGTGCTGGCTACCCACCCCCTCGTGTGCCGTTCGGGCCTTCATAGGTGCTCGCTAACAGCACTTGCCCCAGCAGCCTGCGAAGGGGCGATCTTCGTCTCTGTTGCGCGCATGTAGCGGCGCACTGTTTATAAGCCGGTTCCGCTTATCGGGGTGGGAACTCGCGAGATTGGGACAGGGGGAGTCGTTGTCTCTCGCGATGGGGCGATGACTGGCGGATAAGGTTGTTGCTCACTACACAACTCCCCCTCCTCTTCTTCCTCCTCCCTCCTCCTCCGTTGATCAAAGAAGGGATTGTTGCGATTTCAGCCTCGGATGTAGTCTGCGCGAGTGGGTGGGTGTGTATGTACACGAATGAAAGCATGGGTGGGTGTGTATGTTAACGAGTGAATACATGTGTGGGTTGGTGTGTATGTTAACGAATGAATTCATGGGTAGGTGTGTATGTAAATAAATGAAAGCATGGGTGGGTGTGTATGTTAACGAGTGAATGCATGTGTGTGTGTGAACGTAAGCGCACACGTCAATTGAAAGTGAAGCTTAAATTAGATTCTGAGATCTTCATCGGAGTTCACCAGCCCCGTGTGCGAATTGCTTCTTGTTGTTGTTATTGTTGTTGTCGTAGCAGAGAAATTGCAGAGAAGGGAGGCTCCTGTGTGTATGAGAGAGAGGAGCGGTGGCGCAGTGGTTAGCGCGTTGGCGCTACGGACCCAGCGACACGAGTTCGGTTCCCCCACACGGCCACCAAAAAAAGGGACGATTATCTGAATCGGTCCTGGGCCTCCCCTAGGTCGATTCAGCCTAAACCGAGTACCTGGTGCGGTGTGTAGTAAACATCGCCACTGGGGAGACAAAGGCGGCCGGGCGTGGTGTTGGCCACCCACCCCCTCGTGTGCTGTGCCGGCCTCCATAGGTGCCCACCAACAGCACTTGCCCCGACAGTCTGATGAAGGTTATACGGGGATCTTTGTCTTTTTGTCCATGCACAGGTGGTGCACATCTTCAGTGCCGTGGATCGAGATGAGAATCATGTATCATCTCCGGTCAAAATCTCGCTCTCCGCTCCGTCCGCCAACTCCAACTTCACGCTGACAGACCATCACAGTGAGTGCTGCAGCCACACCGATCATTTTCGAATTTTGACCATCGCACCATCATCACACCATCATCACACCATCATCACATGATCTCACCAGCCCATCATCATCACACTATCTCACCATATCATCATCACACCATCTTACCATCATCACACCATTCCACCACTACGCAATCTCACCATCATCACACGATCTCATCATCACTCGATCATCACACCATCATCTTACCATCACATCATCTCACTATCTCACCATATCTCCATCTCGCCAATAGAGGGCGCTCTAGAAAGCCCCTCTGGAGGGGTAATCGGCCTACTCTTCCGCGCTGCGACAGGCGTCGTGTAAGAGTTCTGAGTACCCACACTTTACCCCATTACACGTGACCTGCCCCTGTCCCCAAACTGTTGCTGCTGGACCCATTTCTACCGCTGGGTGGACAGAGGCGGCCGGGCTGGGAGGAGGGAGGGGGGGTCGGGGGGTGACTACACTGACCCCGTCCTTTCATCTAGCAGTGGATAGATACAGGAGCTCTCAATTACATCAATGGCGAGTACAATTGCATGTTCCCGAAATCATCATCATCATCATCATTGGCCATGGTCATTCCACATCTGGATGAAAGCCCTCGTCTCTGGAGAGCCCCTCTGATAATAATGATGACCTCATATTTACCAATTCCTCTCCTCGGCTCTCCTCTCTCCCCATTGCGTCCATTGTCCATCTCTCCAACTCTCCCTCCATCCCTTCCCCCTCCCTCCACCACTCACCCCCACCTCCCCTCTGCCCTCTCCCCCACTAACCCCCACCCACTAAACCCACTAACCCCCACCCTCTCCCCCACTAACCCCCACCCTCTAAACCCACTAACCCCCACCCTCTCCCCCACTAACCCCACCCTCTCCCCCCCACTAACCCCCACCCTCTCCCCCACTAACCCCACCCTCTCCCCCACTAACCCCACCCTCTCCCCCACTAACCCCACCCTCTTCCCCCAACTAACCCCACCCTCTCCCCCACTAACCCCCACCCTCTCCCCCACTAACCCCACCCTCTCCCCCACTAACCCCCACCCTCTCCCCCACTAACCCCCACCCTCTCCCCTACTAACCCACCCTCTCCCCCACGAACCCACCCTCTCCCCCACTAACCCCCACCCTCTCCCCCACTAACCCCCACCCTCTAAACCCACTAACCCCAACCCTCTCCCCCACTAACCCCCACCCTCTAAACCACTAACCCCACCCTCTCCCCCACTAACCCCCACCCTCCTCCCCCACTAAAACCCCACCCTCTCCCCCACTAACCCCCACCCTCTCCCCCACTAACCCCACCCTCCCCCCACTAACCCCCACCCTCTCCCCCACTAACCCCCACCCTCTCCCCCACTAACCCCACCCTCTCCCCCACTAACCCCCACCCTCTCCCCCACTAACCCCACCCTCTCCCCCACTAACCCCACCCTCTCCCCCACTAACCCCACCCTCTCCCCACTAACCCCACCCTCTCCCCCACTAACCCCACCCTCTCCCCCACTAACCCACCCTCTCTCCCCACTACCCCCACCCTCTCCCCCACTACCCCACCTCTCTCCCACTAACCCCCACCCCTCTCCCCCACTAACCCCACCCTCTCCCCCACTAACCCCCACCCTCTCCCCCACTAACCCCCCCCTCTCCCCCACTAACCCCCACCCTCTCCCCCACTAACCCCCACCCTCTACCCCCACTAAACCCCACCCTCTCCCCCACTAACCCCCACCCTCTCCCCCACTAACCCCACCCTCTACCCCACTAACCCCCACCCTCTCCCCCACTAACCCCACCCTCTACCCCACTAACCCCCACCCTCTCACCCACTAACCCCCACCCTCTCCCCCACTAAACCCCACCCTCTCCCCCACTAACCCCCACCCTCTAAACCCACTAACCCCCCCCTCTCCCCCACTAACCCCCCCCTCCTCCCCACTAACCCACCCTTAAACCCACTAACCCCACCCTCGACCCCCACTAACCCCCACCCTCTCCCCCACTAACCCACCCTCTCCCCCACTAACCCCCCCCTCTCCCCATAACCCCACCCTCTCCCCACTAACCCCCACCCTCTAAACCCACTAACCCCACCCTCTCCCCCACTAAACCCCACCCTCTCCCTCCACTAACCCCACCCTCTCCCCCACTAACCCCCACCCTCTCCCCCACTAACCCCACCCTCTAACCCACTAACCCCCCACCCTCTCCCCCACTACCCCACCCTCTAACCCACTAACCCCACCCTCTCCCCCACTAACCCCACCCTCTAAACCCACTAACCCCACCCTCTCCCCCACTAACCCCCACCCTCTCCCCCACTAACCCCACCTCTCCCCCACTACCCCACCCCTCCCCCACTACCCCACCCTCTCCCCCACTAACCCCCACCCTCTCCCCACTAACCCCACCCTCTCCCCCACTAACCCACCCTCTCCCCCACTAACCCCACCCTCTCCCCCCACTAACCCCACCCTCTAAACCCAATAACCCCACCCTCTCCCCCACTAACCCCCACCCTCTCCCCCACTAACCCCACCCTCTCCCCCACTAACCCCCCCCCTCTCCCCCACTAAACCCACCCTCTAAACCCACTAACCTCCACCCTCTCCCCCACTAACCCCACCCTCTAAACCCACTAACCCCACCCTCTCCCCCACTAAGCCCCCACCCTCTCCCCCACTAACCCACCCTCTAAAAACCCACTAACCCCCACCCTCTCCCCGACTAACCCCACCCTCTAAACCCACTAAACCCACCCTCTCCCCCACTAACCCCACCCTCAAACCCACTAACCTCCCCTCTCCCCCCACTAAACCCCCCCCTACCCTCCTACCCCTCTCCCCACTAACCCCCACCCTCTCCCCACGAACCCCACCCTCTCCCCCACTAACCCCCACCCTCTCCCCCACTAACCCACCCTCTCCCCCACTAACCCCCACCCTCTCCCCACCTAACCACCTCTCCCCACTAACCCCCACCCTCTCCCCACTAACCCCCACCCTCTCCCCACTAACCCCACCCTCTCCCCCACTAACCCCACCCTCTCCCCACTAACCCCACCACTCTCCCCCACTAACCCCCCCTCTCCCCACTACCCCCACCCTCTCCCCCACTAACCCCACCCTCTCCCCCACTAACCCCCACCCTCTCCCCCCACTACCCCCACCCTCTCCCCACTAACCCCACCCTCTCCCCACTAACCCCACCTCCCCCACTAACCCCCACCCTCCCCCCACTAACCCCACCCTCTCCCCCCACTAACCCCACCCTCTCCCCACAACCCCCCATCTAACCCCACAACACACCTCTCCCCCACTAACCCCACCCTCCCCCACACTAACCCCCACCCTCTCCCCACTAACCCCCACCCTCTCCCCCACTAACCCCACCCTCTCCCCCACTAACCCCACCCTCTCCCCCCACTAACCCCCACCCTCTCCCCCACTAACCCCCACCCTTCTCCCCTGACGATACCAACCCCCTCCCCATTCCTCTATCACTCCCCCTCCCCTCCCCACCCCACACCATCATCTCCATACCTCTCGGGGGCCACGATGTTCTCACTTCTCCCCGTACCCCCCTTGCATGCCCCTCCCCCACTTCCCCCTCCCGCCTTCGCCCCCCCCCCCCTTCATCCCACCTCCGCCTTGCCCAAAGATAAAGAACCCCCATATAGCCTTCGCAGACTGTCGGGTGCAAGTCCTGTTAGCACCTACGAAGGCCACACGGCGCACGAGGGTGTGGGTGGCCAGCACCACCCCGGCCGCCTTTGTTTCACTGGTGACGATGTTAATACTCATCCCACCAGGTACTCGCTTTCTATGTGTATACGTGTGTATGTTGAACTTCGTTTGCACCATATGTAGCCACCCGTGCTAATCGGAGGTGCGGGAAAAGGACCACAAACTAAACACAAAAATCAGTTCAAATTTTTTTTTATTTTCATCGAGATTTAAAAGTGGCGGAGCTCCACTGACTTCCTAATATGGGAAGGAAGAGCGTTCCAGACGGCCGCAGAAGCGCATCTGAAAGCGCGCGAAACAGTGACCGTCTTTACTATGGGGACCTCATTTGCCAGTAAAAATATGATAATTGGTTCTTTACCCTTCTATCTGGCAACAAAACTGACACCTTTTTGCAAGGAGTCATGTTTGCATAGACCGCAATACCTGCAGTCATAAATACAAACAAAAGACATAACTCTGATAATGTGCACTGTCCTTGAAGTTGATTGGTCCACACCCGAGACAGCTTTCCTTCGAGCCTAGTCTCATATGGGTTGGACCAGATGACGCCAAAAGGCGCACAACTCAAGGACAATGCACCATCAGAGTATGAGAGCTCGGGGCAAGCATCTACACTATGGGGTCCTCATTTGCCAGTAAAAATATGATAATTGGTTCTTTACCCTTCTATCTGGCAACAAAACTGACACCTTTTTGCGTCATCTGGTCCAACCCATATGAGACTAGGCTCGAAGGAAAGCTGTCTCGGGTGTGGACCAATCAACTTCAAGGACAGTGCACATTATCAGAGTTATGTCTTTTGTTTGTATTTATGACTGCAGGTATTGCGGTCTATGCAAACATGACTCCTTGCAAAAAGGTGTCAGTTTTGTTGCCAGATAGAAGGGTAAAGAACCAATTATCATATTTTTACTGGCAAATGAGGTCCCCATAGTGTAGATGCTTGCCCCGAGCTCTCATACTCTGATGGTGCATTGTCCTTGAGTTGTGCGCCTTTTGGCGTCATCTGGTCCAACCCATATGAGACTAGGCTCGAAGGAAAGCTGTCTCGGGTGTGGACCAATCAACTTCAAGGACAGTGCACATTATCAGAGTTATGTCTTTTGTTTGTATTTATGACTGCAGGTATTGCGGTCTATGCAAACATGACTCCTTGCAAAAAGGTGTCAGTTTTGTTGCCAGATAGAAGGGTAAAGAACCAATTATCATATTTTTACTGGCAAATGAGGTCCCCATAGTGTAGATGCTTGCCCCGAGCTCTCATACTCTGATGGTGCATTGTCCTTGAGTTGTGCGCCTTTTGGCGTCATCTGGTCCAACCCATATGAGACTAGGCTCGAAGGAAAGCTGTCTCGGGTGTGGACCAATCAACTTCAAGGACAGTGCACATTATCAGAGTTATGTCTTTTGTTTGTATTTATGACTGCAGGTATTGCGGTCTATGCAAACATGACTCCTTGCAAAAAGGTGTCAGTTTTGTTGCCAGATAGAAGGGTAAAGAACCAATTATCATATTTTTACTGGCAAATGAGGTCCCCATAGTGTAGATGCTTGCCCCGAGCTCTCATACTCTGATGGTGCATTGTCCTTGAGTTGTGCGCCTTTTGGCGTCATCTGGTCCAACCCATATGAGACTAGGCTCGAAGGAAAGCTGTCTCGGGTGTGGACCAATCAACTTCAAGGACAGTGCACATTATCAGAGTTATGTCTTTTGTTTGTATTTATGACTGCAGGTATTGCGGTCTATGCAAACATGACTCCTTGCAAAAAGGTGTCAGTTTTGTTGCCAGATAGAAGGGTAAAGAACCAATTATCATATTTTTACTGGCAAATGAGGTCCCCATAGTGTAGATGCTTGCCCCGAGCTCTCATACTCTGATGGTGCATTGTCCTTGAGTTGTGCGCCTTTTGGCGTCATCTGGTCCAACCCATATGAGACTAGGCTCGAAGGAAAGCTGTCTCGGGTGTGGACCAATCAACTTCAAGGACAGTGCACATTATCAGAGTTATGTCTTTTGTTTGTATTTATGACTGCAGGTATTGCGGTCTATGCAAACATGACTCCTTGCAAAAAGGTGTCAGTTTTGTTGCCAGATAGAAGGGTAAAGAACCAATTATCAGTGACCGTCTTTGTTCGATGGCCAGCCAAAAGGGTTACGGAAGGTGCATTTTCCCTTGAGATGAAATCAAAAATGTTGATTAAATATAATCTATCGACGGTGGTGAGGGGAGGGGGGGTGGGGGGGGGGCCCAGCACACCGGTTCAGATAATCGTGACCGGCGTCGGCTTTCACGTGAGCCCGAATTGATCTCGGCTCGCAGCGCCACGTGCTCAACCACTGCACCACCCCTCCCCCCCCCACCTCACCCCACCCCCCAGACGGCACGGCCTCCCTATCCCTGCGTCGGCGCCTGTCCCGCGGTGGTGCCGAGGAGCTGTCCACCCTGGGCCTGGTGCTGCCGCTCTCCGTGGTGCTGGAGGACTCGGGCTCCCCGGGTGCCCTGAGCAGCACCGCGACCGTGCGCGTGCGCGTCTGCGCCTGCAGCCGCCGCGGCGCCGTCACCGCGTGCACCCTGCAGGCGCTCGCAGTGCTGCCCGCTGGGCTCAGCGTGCACGCGCTCATCGCCATCCTCGCCTGCCTGCTCATCTTGCTCAGTGAGTGAGGGGGGAGGGCGAGTGAGCGACAGAGAGAGAGATGTAGAGAGCGACAGCGAGAGAGAGAGAGCGGGAGAGAGAGCGGGAGAGAGAGCGAGAGAGAAAGCGAGCGAAAGACTTTGACTTTTAAACAACTTTTATTGCACGCCAGCAGCAAAAGCACTGGAGGCGATTTTAATATGAAATACAGTCATCAGCAAACAAATGAAAATAAACGCTACAAATCGACGCGCTGTGGCGCTGAAAGCACTGCGCACAATACTAAAGAAAAGTCACGTGGTGGTGGTGGTGTCATGGCACACGCCACGGTGACGAGCGAGCGCTTCAGAAGGTGAACATGAGAGAGAGAGACACACAGAGAGACAGAGAGACACACAGAGAGATAGACACACACAGACACGGAGAGACACACAGAGAGAGAGAGAGACACAAGCGAGAGAGAGATCGAGAGAGAGATGCAGCCTGCAAACTACACGTACACGTGTCACATGCACGCGAACATGTCCACGTACACCAAGATCAAAACAAGAATGCCTTGAATAGTCTTTAATAGACTGTTAGGGCAAGTGCTATTTGTGTGCACACATATACCTCTTACACTCATGCCTGCAATGACAAAGATCCTCCTTATAGCGTCAACAGACCTGTGGGTCAATTGGTATTAGCTAGTATTGTATATATGTTGAACTTATGTCGCACCTATCCGTAGCTAACCGCGCTAATTGTATGTGCGCCGATGAAAGCCAGAAGGGTAAGCGAGGGGGTGGCTGGACAGCACCAGGTACTCATTTGAGGCTGAGTCGACCTAGGAGAGGTCCGGGACCTGATAAAATTATCGTCACTGGTGTTGACCGTGAGCGTGAATCGTCCTCACGTGGCTGGTTTCCTAAGCGCAGTGTGCTTACGACTGCACTAATTACTACACTAACTACTACACTAACTACTGAAACTAACTACTACACTAACTACTACACTAACCACTACACTAACCACTACACTAACCACTACACTTAACTACTACACTAACCACTACACTAACTACTACACTAACTACTACACTAACTACTACACTAACCATTATGCGAACGCATACGCATGTCTCTCCCACGTCCTAAATCTCTCTCCCCATCTCTGTCCATCTCTCTCTCTCCATCTCTCTCTCCATCTCTCTTACCTCTCCTCTCTTCCGACTCCCCGCCGCTCTCTGCTTTGCCTGTCAATCGACACGAAATCCATTCGACCTCCGACACAGTTTTCGCAAGTCCTGCCAACACCGTCCCAGCTTTCTTCTGCGCGCGTGTGTGTGTGTGTATATATTCATCATGTTGTCGTTCCAGCAATATATATATAGTTTGACCCTTGACGGTCCGTCACATCGTTTACTAGATGTGATGGCCCTGGTGTGAGTTAAGCAAAGACAAAGATCCCCCGTGTAGCCCTTCACAGTCTGCTGGGACAAGTGCAGGAAGGTACTCATTTGAGGCTGAGTGGAACTAGGGGAGGCCTGGGGACTGGTTTAAATATTCGGCCGCTTTATTTGGTCGCGAGCGGGAATCTAACTCGGATCGCCGCGCTAACCACTGCGCCACCACTCCCCACAGACCCAGCCACAACAGTCACCATTCGCCAATAACTGGCGGTGACATCACCATGGTTCTTGAGCCAGGCTAGGTGCACAAAGACAAATATCCCCCATATAGCCTTTAGTAGACTATTAGGGAAAGTGCTGTTTGGGAAAACCCATGAATGCCGGCACTGCACACGAGGGGGTTGGTGGCCAACAATATGACCGGCCGCCTTTGTCTTCCCAGTGGTTATGTCTACACAACGCACCAGATACTCATTTGAGGCTGAGTGGACGTAGGGCAGGCCCATGAGCGGTTCAGATCACCGTCACCGGTGTTGGCCGTGAGAGAGAATCGAATCCCAGGTCGTCGGGTTTATAGCGCAGCGTAGCGCGAAACACTGCACTACTGCTCCACGCACATGGACACACGCACACACACACGTAGACACACACACCCGTACACACACACGCGTACACACACGCACACACACACGCACACACACGCGCACACACACGTACACACACGTACACACGCACACAGCCGCGTACACACGCACACACGCACACACACACGCACACGCGTACACACACACACGCACACGCACGCACGTACACACACACACGCACACACGTACACACACGCACACACACGCACACACGCACACACACGCGTACACACACGCACACACACACGCACACACACGCGCACACACACGTACACACACGTACACACGCACACAGCCGCGTACACACGCACACGCACACACACACGCACACGCGTACACACACACACGCACACGCACGCACGTACACACACACACGCACACACGTACACACACGCACACACACGCACACACGCACACACACGCGTACACACACGCACACACACACGCACACACACGCGCACACACACGTACACACACGTACACACGCACACAGCCGCGTACACACGCACACGCACACACACACGCACACGCGTACACACACACACGCACACGCACGCACGTACACACACACACGCACACACGTCACACACACGCACACACACGCACACACGCACACACACGCGTACACACACGCACACACACACGCACACACACGCGCACACACACGTACACACACGTACACACGCACACAGCCGCGTACACACGCACACGCACACACACACGCACACGCGTACACACACACACGCACACGCACGCACGTACACACACACACGCACACACGTACACACACGCACACACACGCACAAACGCACACACACACGCACACACACGCGTACACACACACGCACACACACGCGTACACACACACGCACACGGACACGCACACATACGCGTACACACACGCACACACACGCGTACACACACGCACACACACGCGTACACACACGCCATTTCGACATCAGTCACGCGGTCTACCAATTCACCTTGCACGAGGCGTGTGTTGAGCACGCGCACGCACGCGCACACACACGAGCGCACACACGCACACACGCACACACGAGCACACACGCACGCACGCGCCCGCGCGGATAGTCCACCTCTCAGCGAGTAATTACTCGACATTCGAGGATGCCGTTCATCCTTCTCAACGTGGGCGCTCCATCCATCCGTCAAAGCGCGTCGCAGCCTCACATCACATCTCACGTCCGTTCGTCTTGTAATCAATCGTGTTCCCAACGCTTGATCGCTCTCTCTCTCTCTCTCTCTGCTCGCTCTCCTCTCTCTCTGCTCTCTCCTCTCTCTCTCTGCTCGCTCTCTCTTTTTTCTTTTACGATCAGTGGAAACAAGAAGATGCTCGGTGTAGTCGGCACTTTGCTTCGTTCATCATTTCGTAATTTTTTTTTACTTTGCTTATGTAAACCCCACCTCTCGCTCACTCTCTCGCTCACTCTCTCGCTCACTCTCTCGCTCACTCTCTCGCTCACTCTCTCGGTCACTCTCTCGCTCACTCTCTCGGTCACTCTCTCGCTCACTCTCTCGGTCACTCTCTCGCTCACTCTCTCGCTCTCTCTCTCGCTCTCTCTCGTTCTGCACGCAGCCCTTCTCGCAGTCCGACGGCCTCCGACGGGTAGCTCTCTCTCTGCCCCCTCTCTCTCTTGCTCGCATCGACTCGATCTCTGCGCGGACGTTCCCATTTCAGCCTCGTCCGTCCGTCCGTCTCATTCTTTGACGAGTCTTCCGATTTGGTTCATTTTGACACCGAGAACAAGTTTGCAGGAGGTTCCCAGTGCGCATCATCCGCACGTCGCCTGCCAAGCTCGCAAGGACAAAGCTCCGACCCACCGCCGTGTCGCATTTCTAACAGACTGTCGGGGCCAAGCGCCGTTCGCGAGTAGCATCTACGCAGGCGCACACGGAGGGGGTTTTGCTGGCAAAGCACAAAGACGGAATCTGTTGGGGGCTATATACGAGGGGGGAGGGGGCATCTACTCGTCCTCGGAGGAGATTCAACAGCACCGGAGCTTAGTGAGACACGGGGCGGTGGCTAGGGGCGAGCGTTATGCCGCTGGGTGAAAGGCACGCAGAGATCCAGGGTCGTGCAGAGCAAGTGGCTGTCGGGGGATGGGGGCGGGGGGCAAGGGGAGGGGGGTGAACAAGGGGAAGTGACCGCTCGGATCTCTCTCTAGATGGGTTCAACAAAGCGTCTCAGAGGAGGGGGCTGCCACTTGATTGATGGATTGATGGATGGATGGGTGGGATGCTCGGTCACCAGAGGTCTAAATCATCGGCAGCATTCGAAGATTGTTTCGGGTGCTGTGTAAATACCTTGCCGCTTACCCACCGCTCGTGATGAGATGGCCGGCTGAATGATTGTTTCGGAGGTTTGGTGGGTGGTTGAGTGGGTGGGTGGGTGGTTGAGTGGGTGGGTGGGTGGGTGGGTGGTTGAGTGGGTGGGTGGGTGGTTGAGTGGGTGGGTGGTTGGTTGAGTGGGTGGGTGGTTGAGTGGGTGGGTGGGTGGTTGAGTGGGTAGGTGGTTGAGTGTGGGGGTGGGTGGTTGAGTGGGTGGGTGGGTGGTTGAGTGGGTAGGTGGTTGAGTGGGTGGGTGGGTGGTTGAGTGGGTGGGTGGGTGGTTGAGTGGGTAGGTGGTTGAGTGGGTGGTTGAGTGGGTAGGTGGTTGAGTGGGTGGGTGGTTGAGTGGGTGGGTGAGTGTGTGGGTGGTTGAGTGGGTGGGTGGGTGGTTGAGTGGGTGGGTGGGTGGTTGAGGGGGTGGGTGGGTGGTTGAGTGGGTGGGTGGTTGAGTGGCTGGGTGGGTGGTTGAGTGGGTGGTTGAGTGGGTGGGTGGGTGGTTGAGTGGGTGGGTGGGTGGGTGGTTGAGTGGGTGGGTGGGGGGGTGGTTGAGTGGGTGGGTGCGTGCTTGGTTGAGTAGTTAGATGGGGTGGGTGCGTGAATAGGTGGGTTGTTGGTGGGTGAGTTTGTCGGTGAGTCGATTGTTGCATGGTTGTGTGAGTGGTTGGTTGGGTGGTTAAGGACATTGGTAGGTGGCTGAGTCAGTAGCTGAATGGTTGGACGAGTATATCGTTGCGTGGTTGAGTGGGTGGTTCGGCAAATTGGTAAGTGGGTGAGTGAATGGGTGGGTAGGTGAATGGTTGAGTGGTGGGTAGGTGGGTGGGTGGGTAGGTGAACAGAATCAGCATATCAGAATATTTTTTCAGACTCGTACTGGTGGAATCCGATGAGCTAGAACGCTCTTCATCACAGATGTCCGGTAGACATCTGTGAGAAAGGGCTTAATAGCCTGGCTGGGTGAGTGGCTGGCTGGCTGAACGAACACGTGGGGGTGGGGTAGAAGTGAGGCTCGGGCGAGGTGGGGTGTGTGTGGGGGGGTGGAAGTCGAGGGTGGCGAAGGCAGGATGAATTGTCGCGTGTCCAACGCTGACCCGCGCCACCTCGGCTGCCCTGTCACGGTCGACCGGGTCACGGTGGGGGGAGGTGGGGGGGGCTTGCTGGCAGGAGGGGGGTGTGGGTGAGTGTTTTACCGACCGCAGATGAGAGGTGGGAGGTGGCGAGTGGGGAGAGGGGGGCGGGTGGGGAGTCGGCGGGGGGTGGGACGTGTGGTGGGGGGAGGTGTTCGTGATGCGAGCAATGACCTTGACGAATGGAGCGCTCGAATCGCTCGCCTCGCCCATCCGGAGCCTGGCACCGTAGGCCGCCTCCTCCTCGATCAGCAACAAATAGAAACATGAGTGCACCTGGGTTATTGTATTAGTAATTATTATTCATTATTATTATTCACGAAGCCTGTCTTCGTCCGGCAAACTTTTTCAATGAATATAATAATTAACCCGATGTGATGTTTTATTTTTTTTACAATTTTTTATCTACGATCAGACACTAACAACTGCTCCAAAAATGTAGTGTTTTTTCGCAAGAAACACGCAAAAATTGTTGACAACTTGATTTAACTTCTTAAATTTAAAGACGTACCCATCGGACACCGCTGCATTTAAATATTCCGTTATATATTTTTTAAACAAACATTTATTAACTTGATAGTCTGTGTGGGGAAGCTTCTACCTTTTTCTGTTTTCGAATGATTCAAATTTGCACATCATAAAAAGCGGATGTTTTCGGTCAAAACCGCTTGAATCCGAAATATCTTAAAAACAATAAAATATAGAACAATTGTATTCGCTTTAATTTGATTTGCTGTCGAACGCTCTATCAAATGAAAGAAACCCGCAATCTTATATTTTGAACTGTTTCTGAATGACACCCACACACATTTATAGGGCACTTAAACATCGAGATTTGGAGGCCTTAAAACGAAAAATCTGGGATTTTCAGATTTGTCCTGTTGTTTGTGTTCTTAAAGCTACCTATGTACCACATTTCAGCTTTCTACCTTGTACTCCAGAGGGTTTTGAGACACAGATTAGAGTCTTTTTTTATAGATTTAGGCGCTGTCGTATCGCGCGTGGGCGAGCGAGGCTCTGCATGGAGTGGTTGGCCGGGGGAGCGGTGATCTTCTTTCACGCCGTACATAGCCAACCGTGGCAATCGGAGGTGCGGTGTTGAGACTATGGTGCAGTGTTCGGTCTATGGGCAGTGCTGAGTCTATGGGCAGTGTTGAGTCCGTGGGCAGTGCTGAGTCTATGGGCAGTGTTGAGTCTATAGGCAGTGTTGAGTCTATGGTGTAGTGTTGGCTCTATGGGCAGTGCTGAGTCTATGAGTGGTGTTGAGTCTATGGGCAGTGCTGAGTCTATGGGCAGTGTTGAGTCTATGGGCAGTGCTGAGTCTATGGGCAGTGTTGAGTCTATGGGCAGTGCTGAGTCTATGGGCAGTGTTGAGTCTATGGGCAGTGTTGAGTCTATGGGCAGTGTTGAGTCTATGGGCAGTGTTGAGTCTATGGGCAGTGTTGAGTCTATGGGCAGTGTTGAGTCTATGGGCAGTGTTGAGTCTATGGGCAGTGTTGAGTCTATGGGCAGTGTTGAGTCTATGGGCAGTGTTCGGTCTATGGGCAGTGCTGAGTCTATGTGTGGTGTGTATATGTGTTGAGCTTCTTTCGCACCGTACGTAGCCAACCGTGGCAATCGGAGGTGCGGGGGGGGAGACAACAAACTTAAACACACGAAGCGGGTCGCGGTGACGCTGAGATTATCTCGAGGGTATTTTGTGACTATTCCACGCTGGTCAGGACGTCTCTGGATGAGGTGGGAGTCACCCACACTTCACCCCACCGCGCCACGACCTGCCTGCCTTTGCCAATCGGCCGACGTCAACGAACGCCGGTTTAATGTAATTATATATACAAAATAAAATAAAAAATTGCAACAAAAAATCGTGAGCGACGTGAATCGAACGACGCGTGTCCGGGACGTTCTCGCTCAGATCGGCGTGGGGCCCTCTCTTAACGATTGTGCTAATTAATTAATTAATCGCTGACGTGCAATGGGGGTCTGGGGGGGGGGGGGCACGGAGGAGGTCGCCGAGTTAATTGCGTAATTAAAACGTCTCGCGCTGCTCAGCGATGGACTCCGCTGCCACCCTGCTGAGAGGGCGGCTCCTCGCGCCGGAGTCGACACGTGCCGATTTCACCGCGGCAGATGCCGGTGACGGCAACGTCCCGCGTCTCTTGAATACCGCGCCAGGTCCTACTACCGTGGTCTTTGTGGTGTGTATCTATCTCTGTCTGTCTCTCTCTGTCTCTGTCTCTCTGTCTCTCACTGTCCCTCTCTGTCTCTCTCTGTCTCTCTCTGTCTCTCTTTGTCTCTCTCTGTCTCTGTATCTCTCTGTCTCTCTCTGTCTCTCTGTCCCTCTCTGTCTCTCTCTGTCCCTCTGTCTGTCTCTGTCCCTCTCTGTCTCTGTCTCTCTGTCTCTCACTGTCCCTCTCTGTCTCTCTCTGTCTCTCTCTGTCCCTATGTCTCTCTCTGTCTCTGTCTCTCTCTGTTTCTCTCTGTCTCTCCCTGTCTCTCACTGTCCCTCTCTGTCTCTAACTCTGTCTAGCGCCACATTGCATGGATTTGTAGCGTTCATTTTCATTTGTTTGCTGGTGACTGTGTATTTCGAATCGAAATCGCCTCCAGTGCTGTTGCTGCTGACGGCAATAAAAGTTGTTTAAAAGTCAAAAGTCTCTCCTCTCTTTCTCCATTTCTCACCACGTTAACCTCTCAAACTCTCCCCTCCTCCACCTCCTCCCTCCACCTCCAGTCCTCATCCTCCTCTTCGTCTCGGTGCGCCGCCGCAAGAAGAAGGCTCCGTCCCTGCCGGAGGACGACGACATCTGCGAGAACATCGTCCGCTACGACGAGGAGGGGGGCGGCGAAGAGGACACCGCGACCTTCGACCTCGTCACGCTCACCTACCCGCACGCCCGCCCGCTCACCTCCTCCTCGTGCAGCGGCGGCGGCGGCGCTCACCACAACAACAACAACCACCACCACCACGGCAACAACAACAACAGCCACCACCACAACAACCACCACCACCACAACAACAACAACCACGACGGCGTTCGCCAGCCCAACCGCGTCCCGCTCGCCACGGCGGCATCGGCGGCAACAACAACAACAACCGCCGCATCGGCGGCGTCCAACAACCACTACCACCACAGCCACCACAACCAGCAGCAGCAGCAGCACCGCCACCAGCACCACCACCTACCGCCCACAACCACCAGCTGCAGCAGCGGCACAACCACCGCCGCCGCCGCCAATCACAGCGGCGGCGGCAACAACAACAACGGCGCGTCCGCCGTGCCGTCCGGCGTTCGCTCGCGCGTGGGTACCTGCATGGACGAGTTCATCCAGGTGCGCCTGCGGGAGGTGGACGCCGACCCGGCGGCACCCCCCTACGACTCGGTGCAGGTGTACGGCTACGAGGGGAGCGGCTCTTCGGTGGCCGGCTCGCTGGGCTCGCTCAGCTCGCTCGGCTCCGAGTCGTCGTCGCGGTCGCAGGGGGCTCCGTCGACGTCCACCGACGGCGACCAGAGCTACGACTACCTGCACGAGTGGGGGCCGCGCTTCCGCACGCTGGCGCACCTGTACGGCCACGTGGCCGCCGCCGCTCCTGCCGCGGCGCCTACGACGGCGGCTACGGGAGCGGCGGCGGCGGTCGGAGCGGCATCGGCATCGGCGGCGGCGGCAGGATCGGGGTCGGCTGCTGCCGGGGCGGCGGCGGCGGCGGCGGTGGGAATGGCGGGGAAGAATGTGGACCGCGGAGGCGGTTAGAGGAACGAAGTGAATTGAACGAACGAACGAACGAGAGGAACTCTTGGAACTTTGCGGGGACCGGTCGTCGGTTGCGATCGATCGCCGCTTTTGATCGATGGGGAGGGGTGGGGGGGGGGTCAGAATCATTGGGACGATGGAGGGAGGTCAGGGGGGAGATGGATGGGGCGGACGGGCGGGAGGGTGTGGGGCGGTAAATTGCGGATTCGCCCCCCGTTCGCGACGCGATCCGGTGAGCTGTCACGATGAGGATGAGGAGGGCGATGATGAGTTGCGCTGATTCGGGAGCCTCTGCCGCTGGCGGTGATTGCAGCTTCCCGAGTGGCTGCACGATTTCACGAGAGCCAGTCGCCCTCGTGCTGTAGAGCAACGTCCGCATTAGCGTTTGTTTTATTTATCATAATGAGCCGTGCTCTATCCACCGCTGGATGAAGGCCTCCCCCGTACTTTTCCACGGGCGGTGCCACGGTCCAAATCGGCTCCTGCGCACGACGCGATCATCATCGCTCCATCTCCACGATGGGCGCCCTCGACTCTCGGACGCCGCCTTTGCATCGTCACCATCCAGCGTCCATCGCCCATCGTCTTCCCAACAGTCGATACGGCGATGTTACTGAACCTGAGTTTGTTAACTAGTCCATGTGACGTACAGTACTGGAACCGAAAGATCGCGAGCTTATGGGATCGGATTTGACTCGGCGAGTCGATGCAATCCGCCCCACACATCCCGATTGATCATTGCGATTATTGGCGGTGATCTCCATGATAAAATCGTGATAACATCATGAATAAATGATTCAGTTGATCTGATAAAAGGGACATGTAGGATGGGACAAAAACACGCAAAATTTATGAACGGATCTATTTCTGAATCGCATTGCAACTCCGAATCGTGACAACTTATCGAATCGTTGTGGAGAGGCGGAGGGTGGAGTGGGGTGTGGGGGAAGCGTGGTTGCGAGGTCGGAGACGTGTACATTATTCTTCCTACCCTGGCTCGGGGTTGCCACCTTTGAAGTACAAAAACAACCCGGGGACATATCATGGCAAGAAGATGAATAATCTCACAGTACCAGAAGAGGTGGAGACTCCACAGTGAACTCAATGTCTTGATTGGCGCACTATTATCATTATTATTAGGCCATTGACAATGGGCAGAACCTACTTTTTTTCATTTCTGTTTCCTGGGAAGGACAAATAGATATATATTTTCTCCCAGGACTGCTGTCGCGAAGAAAGGGACTGTCCTGGGGAAAACCTGGACAGGTTGTCAGCCATGGTCTCGCCCTCCACGTCTCCGTCAAAGTTGGGCCAATGGTTCCAAGCAGACACGCCAATGTCTGGGCCCTTACGTTGGTAAAAACGTTGTGTCAACTTTGGCCCAACGTTGGTGCGACGTTGCCCCAGCGTTGGCATGTCTTTACTGGGGGCAGTATTTCCGACCATTTTTTCCCCTGGACAGATGACGATGGTGGTGATGTTGATGATGATGCCGATGATGATGATGATGATGGTGATGATGATGATGATGATGAAATTTGTACTTACGAGAGAGAGAAAGATAATGATACTACACATAATGGAAAAAAACAATTTAACAACACAACCCCGAAGCTTGTACATAGATATTTTTGGCGACATGCCATTATTTTATTAAGAGAGTTGTTGTTATAATGATAAATTCTATACATTATATATAGCAAAACAATTTTAATCGGAGTGCATTCCCAGATAGGGACTTGCCCACGTGACTATAGTATTAGACCATTGCTGGGTTCGCGAACTCACGAACCATGAATCAATCCCAATGCTCACTCAAACTGGACATTGGGTTCCGAAAAACCCCCTCTCGGTCCAGCCACGACGGCAAAACATCCACAATGCTTTTTCTTCCTGCGATAAGGGCAGCGGAAAATTTCCATAACGTTTGGTTGACGAAAACCGTCGCACTTAGAAACGGAACACCCAGGTCGATTGTTCCCCCAACGAATTCCACGAAAGTCATCGGCCTTGCCTCGACCCCCTATCATCAACCCTGTTTCTTTGGCAACGGGCGGCGAGTGGGCGTGACGTGTACCTGTAGGACAGGAAGTGGGCGTGGCACTGCCTGTAGGACAGGAAGTGGGCGTGGTTTTGTCTGTAGATCAGGAAGTTGCAAGTGGATTTTGGTTAACCAGATGAGAACTCAAGATGAGCCTGAAATGCAAGTCAATGGGTGACTGAATGAGTACATGGTTGAGTGGATCAGTGGGTGAGTGAATGATCGAATGAGTGGGTGAGATGGTTGGTGAGTGAACGATTTAGTGAGTGGGTGATTGTGATGGTGGGTTTAGATTATGGGTGAGTGAATTAAAGTAAGGTTCAATTTTATTGAACTCATTTAGAACTTAACATACCAGGACGAGTCTCATCCTGCAAGAGTGAGCGGGTGAGTGAATGAGTGTGTATGCGGGCAAAATATTTGAGCGAGATGAGTGAGTTCAAGTTGAATATGTTTTCCTCGGTGAGAACTCAAAAAAACAAAAGACCAGATGAGTCTCATTTTCAAGAGCGACTTCACTCACTGGCTTTCCAGGGGGCACACTCACCGTGGTGAAGTGATCTTCGTCCACGTTTCGCGGGGAGAGATTTCACTTCAAATAGCCTTCACTCAGGGCATATCCACAACACGAACCATCTGAGGCCGGCCTCTCCACTACAGTTCAAGCAACTCTGAGAGTTTACAGAAGAATATTGGTAACCGCGGCCAAGCCTGTGAAATGAAATCAAACTGTAACCAGCGATGAAGAGAATGACCAGGTGAACATCCATCATTGGGGCAACGCAAGATCACGTTGGACTCAATGTTTGGTTAACGTCAACCAACGTCGGCCCAGCGTTGAGCCTACGTTAGGCCCAACGTCAACCGACGTTGACCGTGCAACGAGGCTATGTTAGTTTTGAGTAGAAATTAGAGCAAACAACAACGCAAACAGCGACGCCAGAAGTGGACATTTTTGCACAGACATCGAAAATGAGTTGGGGCGATGGCCTTGCTCTTCTGGCCGTGTCGAGATGCTGGTGAAAAAAAGTCAGAACTCTTTCGGACAAAACGCAGGGGAATGTAACGGCGAAGTCGATGCCGCGGATCACGTCCCGTGGACAACAACTACCAAGCAACGTTCGGATGGACATTGACGGCACGATGATCGGCCGTGCATCTGTGGATTAAAAAGGAAGTGTACACGGCCCATTTACAAACCCAACGCACGCCTCTTGTCGCCATACAGCGCGACCCGTAGGGCCTAGACTGTGTCCCGTGATTGTCCCACGTGAATTTGTAAGTTGATGATGTGTTCATCGTCGTTACCACCATAACCTTCATCATCAGAAATAGCATCATCTAAATCAGCAGCAGTATCAGCAACAGAAGAAGCTTTATCAAAGCTATTATCATCATCAGCAGCGGCGTCCATGTTGCCATCATTATCATCAACAGAAGCAGCAGTGTCACCATAATCAGGACAACTGCCATCATTATCACAACTATCATCATAATCACAACTGCCATCACAAATATCAATATCATCACGACTGCCATCACAACTGCCATCAACACAAATTATCATTATCACAACTGCCATCATAATTATCATCATCAGCACCGCAACTGCCATCACAACAACCATCACTTCTGCTATCATCGCAAACTACTATCATCACTGCCATCACAATTATCATCACAAACGCCATCAACTCAAACTACCATTATTACAATTTCCATCACAATTATCATCATCACCAAAACTGCCATCACAGATGTCATCACAAACTGTCATTATCACAACTACCATCATCATAACTGCCATTATCTCCATCATCATCACCATCATCGTTACTCGAAGGAAACATACGTTTTGATTTGAAGCTTTTGTGACTGCAGGAATCCATACTCTTTGGTTCTTTCGATACAGTTACGTAGGTAGAAATAAAACAAAATAAATCACGACCTTTACACTATAATACCCCATTAACACTACTTCTTCGGCTACCTTTGTTCTCAAACACTTTTAGAAACTCTTGCTGGTAACAGCTTCTCTTCACAAGGCAGCAGACATCGTGCTGCTCGCAGCAAACATCGCGGCTATCGCGATTGTCACCTGAAGACGATGGCTTGTGTTGCTATCGAAACGTCGTAATCTATTTCGTTTTATTTCTACCTACGTGACATTACCGAAAGAACCGAAGAGTAAACGTACGTTTGTTTATTGATTAAATAAGAACTCGAGTCGATCAGCGCCGGGACACAGCCTCGGCGCACGAAGCTCCCAGACGGGCACAGGCGCAGCCCTGCAAGTGCCCGTGCCGGATAGCGGGCGGGGGACTCACCACAACTCGATGGAGCTTTAAGGAGCCCTTCGTCCTTCCGAGGGTGTTTTTGGCCTACTCTTCCACGCTGGCCGGCCGTCTTGGAAGACGAGGTTGGAGTACAGACCTCGCGCCATGTGATGCGAGCGGGCGCGTTGTTTACGCACACAAAGACAAAGATCCCACTCCCACACTTCGAATAGCCTTCAATGGACTGTTGGGGCAAGTGCTGTTAGCGAGTAACAGCTGCACCTACGAAGGCCATACACAGGCGCACAATTATTCCAAGAATCTCAAATTCGCGAAGGGTTCGAGTGAGAATGGCGATGTTATTATTATTTCAATTATAACCACGGTATATATGTATGATTATGATTATTGTTATACTACTACTACTACTGGTAAGATTATCTTTATTATTAAATATACAGGTCCGGTGCTTGTCGCACGCACACACACGAACGGATATTTGAAGGAAAAAAATGAAAAATAAGACAATTATTATCGGGATATTTATGTAACGCCTAAATGTATATTTTACGTTGTTTCCGGGAGTTTTAGTTCCGTTGTTATTCTTCGGGTTTGTTTTTTGTTTGGAGTCAAGAGTGAAATAAAAAGGCTGTTGTTTTTATTTGTTTGGTTTTCATACGCCCCTTGCTCAAATCGTACATACGTAATA